AATATCGTCTCTAATATCCTCTTAAAACATTTTAAAGAAAATGAGTTGAAATTCATTTGCACCAGTGCCTCAATGAGATCTCATGCTCATAATAAGAGTCTAATAGACTTCCTACTTTGTAACGGCGACCATTAGAACATTCTTCTTGTCAAAATTCAAAGAGAAAATTATAAAGGTTACATGAGGCGCAATGTGACAATCATTAGTACAACTAATTTTAAAAGTAAATTATAGTCTATCTTTGTGCATCATTCACCAAACAAAATAATCATATCATAAATTTTATTTCTCTTACATCAGAAGATAGTTTGTTTATGAAAAAAAGAAGACAAAAGAAAATTTTGTTATCCAAGTGACTTTAAATACAAGATGGGATGTGAGTTGTGATAAAAAAAAATAATTTTAAAACTTTAAAGAAAAATGTTGATTTTACTTGGTTGATTTTAAGAAAAAAAGAAGAGTAAGAAATCATGTGTGGAATAGTGAATGGCGGCAAAGTAAAGAGATAAGGAGAAAGAATGAACATACTAAAATTATACAAATTTGTCTTAAACCATGCTGTCTATTACGGTCCTTAAGAAAATTTTCTTAAGAGTTTCACTAACAACTGAGCTTTTATTATATGATCATCCCCAAACTTTCTTACGCCAAAATTTTATTCTAAGTTTAGCTTGGAACTTTTATAATAATATCATACTTTCAAGAGACAATCACTCTCTTGATTTACAATTTCATAACAAATAGATTAGCAAATAGTTACACAACAACAACTTTTACTAAGTGTTTCGCTTCCTCAAGACTAAAATAATTCTAAGTGAATATGAAAAGTTTTAAGAACACGTAGAAAGTGAGAGAATCTATTCATATTTCTTGTGTATTTTCAATTGAACACAAGTCTTCTTATAGTAATAAATTTGGCCGAAAAAGAAAATAACTTTTTGTCATCATCGATTGAGAAATGGTCATAATCGATGATGACCTGACATAAAATATTCTTGCTAAAACCTAAACATAATCAATTAGAAGGTTCTTTAATAGATTATTAAATGAATTTTCTCCATAATTAGCTAGACAATTTTATAATTGATTATAGGTTAAATTTTGTTGTATGATCGATTAGCTATACTCCATAATGGATAACACAATGTCCAAGCTCATTTTAAGAAGGTTTTGAAAATAGATGAGATTTAAAACTTATAATAAAAAAAAAAGAGTTTGTGTGTTTGTGTGTGTATAGTTATCTTAGTACTTCGAGATCTACACACACTTAATATTATATTTGATCATATAAAACAGATAAACAATAAAACACAATATTGCATGCGAGCTTTTACTGTCAGTTTTATTTATTGATGTTATTCAATTGCATTTGATATTTTTTTAAGCTAACCATCAGAAACTGTCTCTTTTTTATTTAAGATATTCTTTCTTCATTCTTTGATGATGTTTTCGGCATCAACAAAACATGTTATACACAAAGATAATTTTACCTTTTTGTTGTTTGGAAGGGATTAAAATATTACTGAAGTCACCAACATCCACAATTAAACAAGACGAATCATCAAGTACCAAAAATAATCATGTAGGTTTTCTCTCGCCGAAGGTGTGAGACAGACATAATTTTTTTAGCAAACCCAAGATGAATTACCTTTTATCACTTTTAAAAGTAAAATACTTCCTCCGTTTTAAAATGATTGTCGTTTAAGATTTTTGCATACAAATTAAAGAATGTAATGATATTATCATAAAATATTGTACTTTTACTGCATTAATCTTATTAATGTGTTGAAAAAAGTGTACATAATAATAATTATATGACACAATTAGAAAAATAGTAATTATTACTATGTTGAAAAATAAGAACGACAGTTGTTTTAAAACAAAATTTTTTCTTTAAAACGACAATAATTTTAAAAAGAATAAAGTATAATTTTAATGTCTTCAAAATCAATCATGAAAACTTAAAATGATACACAGCAAAAAGCAAGCCCCTACACCTGGATTTCTCGACGTCAAGGCCCACCATATCTTCTTCCATGTATTTTCACCATTTTGAGATGATTCATTCACACTTAGATTAATGTTTCTTATATTAGCAACATCGTTAGAAGAATTGTGGTCTTCCAAAAATTGGATGTGATTTGGTCGCAATACTCTAGATGGCATGGTGGATATTATTTCATAGAAAAAAATCATAAATAGTATTTTAGTGTCTTATGATGCTGAAGAGAACTACATTCTTAGAGCTTGTATTTTCATCATTGGCAAACAAGAATTCTTCTAGAAATTATGAGTTATGCAGACTCACCTTGAGAGACATATCATGTGTACTGTGTTTGTTGTGTTTTTTCTTGTAGAATTTTCTTTGTTGTTTTGGACGATACATAATTTTTCATTTTTTTTCTTTCTCATGTTAATGTTGTACCATTCTAAATTTTGTATTACTCAAGTGACTCACTGATTTATTTTCTCTCTCTTCGTTTAATCCAAATATTTGAGTTTATTTTTATTCAAAATCTTATTTATTTTCCTATGATTGTCTCTTATATTTGTTTGTACTTGAAAAAAGTACATAGTATGAAACCTCACTGGTGTAAAGCGAGTGAAGCTTCAATTGTATTTGATTTATGCCTTGATTTTTTTTTCACAAGATAATCCACACTTGCTCCTTCCGAAAGCAAGTAGAACATTATCATCATAGTATTTCGCGCCTAGTCTAGATTTTCACGTCCTGTGTATGCATATTTAGATATTGGAACAAAGTCTGACAATCATTCACAAACTGTCAAATAATAATTGAAAATCATTCAAGGTCTCTTGTCAAAAACCTTCTTCCAATTTTAATGCAGGACAAATTTATGATATTCATTTTTTAGATTGACTAGATTCAATTCAACTTCATTGTATATCTTTGATTTTATTTATAAAAAAAAAAATATTTCTTAAATTGATCAAATAATCAATATATAGATCATATACATTTAATTATATTATTTAATAAATTTAAAAAGTTAATCTTTTCTTATAAATAAGATTAAAAAAAATATTAAGACATATATCTACAGGATAAAAAAACATCTCATAGTTATCATAAGAACTATACGATGATAAACAGAAAACTAAACTTTTACAAATTACATTTATTCTCTACGCATTCTTTTAATTTTATGAATATATCATTTTATATTTTTACTACCACATGTTTTTTTCTATGTAAAACAAATACGAAATTTTTCATACATATATCTCAATAAATTGTCAAATTTTGTAAAGTAATCAGTTAAAAAATTTGTAAAAGGCAATAGCAAAACTTTAAAATGGAACTTCAATAATATATTTTTCACTGGCAATCCTAGATTTTAGCTAACGGTGTTGATCAATTTTTCTATTTAGTATTTTTTTAAAAGGCAAATATGTGATATATATATATATATATATATATATATATATATATATATATATATATATATATATATATATATATATATATATATATATATATATATATATATATATATATATATATATATATATATATATATATATATATATATATATATATATATATATATATATATATATATATATATATATATATATATATATATATATATAATAAAAGAAAGACCCTATCTGCAAAAATACAAGGTAACCCTGAGGAAAAATAAATCTCAAATTAGGAGTAAATCTGACAGAAAAAAAAACAAAAACAACCGATTACAACCAACTCAACCACCAATCAAGGGGAACCATTCCAAGAAAAAAAATGCTTATAATTTCATAGAAAAATGGTTTTAAATTTATAACATGAAAAAAAATATTACACTAATTAAAATATTTGACACCAAGGTGAGATTTATCAATCATGCCTACAAAGAGAATATAGAATAAGTAATCAAATTCACTTGTAAACTAAAAAAAATATATCAAATGCTTATAAGAAGATGAATTACTTTTTCAAATGACAAAAATAGAGATAATTAGAAGAATGTGATAGGTTTTTAAAAAAAAGCAGGAGATGCCATTAAATGACTACAACATGCTCAAACACTGATTACAAAAAGCATAAAACACAGGAATTGCACAAAAGTCGAAATAATTAAAGTTGGACTTAGCGTTTCTCCTAGGTAGATTCTTTTTTTACAAATTGAGGTTTTTTTAAATGGAATGAAAGTATATAATTCTTAATAAGATATGCATACATATTAAACAACCCCTTAACATATAAATGACTATATAAATTATTAAAAGAATTTTAGAATGAATGCTTGAAATTTATAACAATTTCAACTGCAGCTTACTAGTTAAAAAGGTTGAATTTATCATACTAAATTTGATTTGGGCTGGGTTGTTATCCTTATAATTGTATAATTAAAAGGGTAATATTAACTTGTACCTCAAGATGGTAAATTTGATTTGGGCTGTCATCATTATAATTGTATAATTTAAAGGATAATGTTAACTTGTGCCTCAAGAGTACGAGTTAAGAGATAAATATAATAAAAAATTCTTAAAAATTGTGTAATATATTTAATACAATTTTACAATTAAATATTCTATTGTTTTTTTCAATACAAATATTCTATTTATGAGTTTTTTAACTTGTGCCCTTGGGGCAGAAGATAACATTATCCTAATTAATAAAACTAAATATTTGTTCTGAAGATATTCTGGGTTTGGAATTCCAACTGTAATTGCTGCTAATTCAAACAAGTGTATTTCTAATGGTAGGCAAATTAAATAATCAAGCTCAATCATTCATTACATAATCCTCTCGAGTTCCGACTATTCGCCAAGAAAATTCATGATAGAGAACAACCAAGATGCTAAATTGGAACAAAATAGCATGTCGACAACACATTTTCTTGGACACCAATGTTTCCTCAACCTCAAGTTCTTCAAAAAGAAATACTGATAAAAACTGCAAAGAACCTAAATAAATGCGAAGAAGGGTGCATATCTTATCTACATGGTGCAGGAGGGCACGATCCTGAGATGTTTTATCGAGATGTAGGATAAGCTCCCTTGCTGCGCTTTTTTAGAGACTCTGAGAAAGAGGAGAAAGCTTCTTTCATTTCATTTGGAAGAGGGAATTGAAGGGGGAGTATCGAGGGAAGTCGTGCATTGTATTGCACCCTTGTTTTCCAGGACGTGGGAAGTGCAAGTGCTGGCCTCGGTTTGTTTATCCCATCCATGATAAAAGAAAATGCTCCAAAAGTGAGACAGCTCTGCAGAAGAGCTTGTGGCGGACCTGAAAAATACAAGAGGATAAGTCGTAATAACAAAACAAGTACATAAATGAAATTCACAAATGTGTTCAGGTAAATAATGGAATGAACTTCAATAGTATGGATGATTATAAAACAATCTGACGCAACAAAGTTTTATTTCCTTTTCCTTTTGCCTGATGATGGTGGATTCTACGTAGGAATACAACTCAAAAATAGTCTTGTGACGCTCACCCACCAATAAGGGGCAACATTACATTTATTTAACGAATAAGTGATCTATATTAGTAATAATTCATATTTTATTATATTATTTTCTTAAGCCCATAAGTTTGTTAGAGGGTATTTCAGTATTTTATCTTATTCTAGTAACCCTAGTTTTAGCCTATAAATAGGGTGACAATCATTGTAACTCTTAATCCTGTTTCTTCTGCCGTCATTCTCTTTAATAGAATATTTCCCTATTTCATCATTTATTCTATCTTTGCACCAACAATTGGTATCTAGAGCTCCGGTTCAGATTCATTGGGAAACACGGGAAACACGAGTGAACGTGAGGTCTTGTGTGTTTGATTTTGATTCTTAGATTCGTGTTGAATCTTGAACAAAATCTGATCAGAATTTTATTCTGTGGGTTGGGAAACACTGTGTGAGAAATCTGAGTGTATTGTGCAAAGTAGAAGATGAACGGAAACGGCAACATGAACACCAAACTTCCAGTATTTGATGGTAAAAACTGGAATCGTTGGATGATCCAAATGCGTGTACTATTTGGTGCTCAAGATGTTCTAGATCTTGTCACTGATGGTTATGTTCCGGTAGCAGCAGATGCGACTGATGAACAGAAAAACGCGCAGAAGGAAGTAAGGAAGAAGGATCAGAAAGCATTGTTCTTCATTCATCAATGTGTGGATGTAAACGTGTTTGAGAAGATTGCAGATTCAACGACAGCAAAGGCTGCGTGGGACACACTGGTTAGATGTTATGGTGGTGACGCATCAGTGAAGAAGGTGAAGCTTCAGTCCTTGAGAAAGCAATATGAGAATCTCAACATGAAGAATAATGAGAAAGTTTCTGAATACATCTCCAGAGTGATTCTGATCACTAATGAGATGAAGGCGTGTGGAGAAACTCTTTCTGAAGAAACAATCATGGAGAAGGTATTGAGATCCCTTACCTCTCAATTTGATTACATTGTGGTAGCAATAGAACATTCCAAAGATCTGAGTACCATGAAAATTGAAGAGCTGCAGAGCAGTTTATAAGCGCAAGAGTTGCGTTTGACTGAAAGAACTTCTGAAAGGGAAGTACAGCAGCAGGCTCTGAAAGCAACTTCTGATAGGAGGTATCAGAAGCAGTCAGAAGCCAGGAGAAGATCTGATGGTGGTCAGAAGTCAGAAAGCTCAACCTCTGATAGACAAAAGAATGCTCAGAAGGGAAAAGATAAGTATGACAAGAAGAAAATTCAATGTTACTGTTGTAAAAAGTTTGGTCACTTTGCTAGAGATTGTTGGTCAAACAAGGAGAAGAAATCAGAAGAAGCAAATATAGCCAGAAGTTCTGATGACGAATCTGTGCTATTGATGGCCTCTGAATCTGATGATCTGACAGACTGGTGGTATATGGACACTGGCTGTTCAAATCATCTTACTGGAAACAAGAAATGGTTGGTTGACTTTGACTCTGAAAAGAGGACAAAGATCAGATGTGCTGATGACAAATATCTTAATGCAGAAGGTATGAGAAATGTCAGAGTGACTCTGAACAATTGGAAAATAGCATTGATTCAGAATGTGTGGTATGTACCTGGCATCAGAAGCAATATGATGAGTGTGGGACAATTAATTGAGAAAGGTTTCTCAGTTACCATGAAGGACAATCTTCTCAAGCTGTATGACTGTAATCAGAAGTTGATTATAGAGTCAGAACAGGGAAGGAATAGAACATTCAAAGTGAATGTCAGAACTGCAGACTCAGAGTGTCTTAGTGCAACAAGTACTGAGAAGGAGAGTGAGCTGTGGCACAGAAGATTTGGTCATTTGAATTTCAGAAGCTTACAACATCTGAATTCAAAGAAATTGGTACATGGAATTCCTGCAATTAAGAAGCCTGAAAAGTCATGCAAAGTTTGCATGGAAGGAAAACAACCAAGATTGCCATTTGCATCAGAAGTTGCTCCAAGAGCAAAACATGCCTTGGGAGTTGTACACTCTGATGTGTGTGGTCCATTTCCAGTAGCATCAATTGGAGGGAATAAATACTTTGTGTTGTTTGTTGATGAATTCACAAGAATGACATGGGTATCCCTTATCAAGTTCAAACACGAGGTGTTTGATGAATTCAAGAAGTTCAGAATGAAGGCTGAGAATCAGAGTGGTCAGAAGTTGAAGATTCTTAGAACTGATGGTGGAGGTGAGTATAACTCCAAAGAGTTCCAGAAGTTCTGTGAGGAGAATGGAATTGAGCATGAGGTTACTGCTCCCTATACCCCTCAACACAATGGTCTTGCTGAAAGAAGAAACCGCACTCTGCTTGATATGGTGAGAAGCATGCTAAAGGAGAAGAAGCTTTCTCAGAAGCTCTGGGGAGAAACTGTTGCCACTGCAACGTATGTACTCAACAGATGTCCTACGAAGAAGTTGAAGGAAATAGTTCCTATGCAGAAGTGGACTGGAGACAAGCAAAGTGTTAGTCATCTGAAGGTATTTGGTTCTGTTTGCTATAAACATGTTCCAGAAGCCAGAAGACAGAAGCTGGATGATAGAAGCAAAGTGATGATTCTGATAAGGTACCACAGTACAGGTGCATACAAGCTCTATTGTCCAGAAACCAATAAAATTGAATTCAGCAGAGATGTGATTGTGAAGGAATCAGAAGTTTGGAATTGGGATAAGTCTCAATTTGATTCTGATGTTAGAACCTCTGAAGAAAGGCCAGAGTTAAGAATTTTTGAAGTTGAAGTAAACCCTGATATTGACTCTGACTCTGATACTGATTCAAACTCTGAAAAAGACTCAGAAGATGAAGGTGACCCAGATGACCAAGACTCTGATGATTCAGACTCTGATGGCAATCCAGATCTTGGTGGCAATTCAGTTCTGGAAATATGCCAGACTCTGAAGATGGTCAAAGCTCTGAAGGTCAATCATCTGAAGCTGAAAACTCTGAAGCTCAAGACTCTGAACAAGTTCAAAGACCACAAAGAATCAGAAGCGTTCCCAGAAGATTTGCAGAATTTGACATGCTGCAAGACACTGAAGTAGACTCTGAAGGAGAAGTTATTCAGTGTGCCATGTTAGTAGACTCTGAACCTATAAGTACAGAGGAGGCTCTTAAGCAGAAGCTCTGGCTGAAGGCCATGAAAGAAGAACTTGATGCTATAGAGAGAAACAAGACTTGGAAGCTGACAGAACTTCCAAAAGACAAGAAAGCCATCAGCGTCAGATGGGTTTTCAAGCAGAAGTTAAAGCCAGATGGTTCAATTGGCAAACATAAGGCAAGGTTGGTAGCAAGAGGATTTCTACAGAAACTTGGGCTGGATTATTCTGAAGTGTTTGCACCTGTAGCAAGACATGAAACAATCAGAATGGTGATTGCAATAGCTGCTAACAGGAATTGGCCTCTGATGCATTTAGATGTAAAATCTGCATTTCTGAATGGTCCATTAGAAGAAGAAGTTTACGTGTCACAACCTCCTGGATTTGTGAAAAAGAATCAGGAAGGGATGGTGTACAGATTATATAAAGCTCTATATGGACTGAAACAAGCGCCCAGAGCTTGGAATCAGAAGATTGATTCATTTTTCAAGAAGCAAGGCTTTCAGAAATGTGAGATGGAGTACGGTGTCTATGTTCAGCATACTTCTGAAGGCAATATGACTCTGGTATGTTTATATGTTGATGATATACTATTGACTGGAAGTTCTGAACAGGAGATAGCCAAGTTCAAGAAGGTTCTAATGAATGAATTTGAAATGACTGATCTAGGCAAAATGACATACTTTCTAGGGATGGAGTTCAGATATTCTGAGAAAGGTATCATTTTGCATCAGCTCAAGTATGAATTAGAACTTCTGAAGAGATTTGAACTGAAGAATTGTAAGATGGCTGTCACACCTTCTGATACAAATCAGAAACTGGATTCAGACTCTGAAGGAAAGGATGTGGATGCTACAACCTTTAAACAGTTGGTTGGTTCTCTGAGGTATCTGTGCAATACCAGACCTGATATTTGCTACTCAGTTGGGATGGTTAGTAGGTTCATGAGTAAACCTAAGTGGTCCCATTACCAAGCTGCTGTCAGGATTCTGAGGTATATCAAAGGAACTCTGAAGTATGGAGTGTTATTTCCCTCTGGAGGAAATAATGAGTCAGAACTTCTGAGTTATTCAGACTCTGATTGGTGTGGAGACAGAGTTGACAGAAGAAGTACATCTGGGTACTTGTTCAAATTTCTGGGAGGTCCTATTTCTTGGTGTTCCAAGAAGCAACCTGTTGTGGCGTTGTCAACCTGTGAAGCTGAATACATTGCAGGTGCTGTTACTGCATGCCAAGCTGTGTGGATTCTGAATCTGTTGCAGGATCTGAAGATTAAGGTAGACAAACCTCTGAAGTTGATGATTGACAACAAGTCTGCAATCAACCTTGCCAGAAACCCAGTGCTGCATGGGAGAAGCAAGCATATTGAGACCAAGTATCATTTTCTGAGACATCAAGTTCAGAGTGGAGTGTTAGAAGTTGTACACTGCAGCACTCAGAAGCAGTTGGCAGATGTTCTGACGAAAGCTATCAAGACTAATCAATTTCTCAGATTAAGGGATGGAATTGGTGTTACAAGTTTTGATGGAATATGAATTAAGGGATGGTATTAGTAATAATTCATATTTTATTATATTATTTTCTTAAGCCCATAAGTTTGTTAGAGGGTATTTCAGTATTTTATCTTATTCTAGTAACCCTAGTTTTAGCCTATAAATAGGGTGACAATCATTGTAACTCTTAATCCTGTTTCTTCTGCCGTCATTCTCTTTAATAGAATATTTCCCTATTTCATCATTTATTCTATCTTTGCACCAACAATGTGATGATCATGTTTTTAAAGATGTATTAAGAATGAAATTTACAGATGTATATGTCGTTGATAAAGCTTATTCCATATACCCTTTTTTCTTTTCAATCCAATAAAGTGGAACAAGTTTAAATGAAAGGGGAAATTCATCCATTTATATTATATACACTACAAAAATACCTGGAAAACTTAGAGCAAGTCCAGTGCAGCATCCAGCTACTCCAGCGTTAATGACTGCAGATACGAAAGTAGACATTATTAGTGAAAAAACAATATTAAAGGAAAAGTGCTTTCATAGTTAAATATTTCATACCATCATCCTTTCCTCGAAGTCTTTTCAAGATGCAAACAACCAAACTATGAACTCCAGCCAATACTGCAAATGTCTAACGAAACAAAGAAAAACTATTATTGAAGAACATAATTGAGGCACATATAAAAACATATGATACATTGATTCTACTACACAAAGATTAATCAAGTTGATAATAAGCAATCAACAAAATAGTTCTGAGGTTTACAAACCTTTGCCTGAGATGCTGCTTCTACAAAGGATCCTTTAAAACCTTTCTTGTTGTACAATCCAGTACCTGAAACACACCCGTAACAAGCATCCTTAAGCATACAAATCAGAAAACATCAACTTATTTAGGTATCCAAAGTCAAACTTCTCAAAGATATACACTGAATATAACAATAGTCAGAAAGTAATAGAAATCAATCAAAAAAGCTACAACTCGTAAAATTTAAGCTAACACCAGTAACTCTGTAACCAAATCCTTAGTCTGGCTCTCAATTATATAAGCAAAACATAAGCCATCTTGCCAACTACTAAAACAAACTACATACGTATGCTTGGTTTTAATTATAAAATTGATTCCATCAAAATAGGGTTTAAACAGAAAGAAAGTGCATGCCGAATACTTTTTTATTCTCTTTGGTACGTTGTCGGAGGAATAACAAACAAAACACCCCCGATAAACTCACACGCAAAGGAGAGATCCAAGGCTTGAACCAAATTAACCATAGAAAATATCCAGGGTAACAATCATGGTTTTAAATTGCAATCCGCAACCGCAATTGTTGCCGCAATATTACTAATGTGGTACCCTCCGCAACGGCATTGGACCGCAATAGCAGTGTGATTCGAAATCACACGTCCTTCCACATTATGAACCACACCATACAACTTCGACGAGGTTTCTTCAAGTATTTTTGTCAAAACATAAAATTTAGAACCGTAAAACTCAATTTATTTCTGAAAAATCTTAACATAAGTGTTTTTTAACCGTGTATTTCAAACTCTTCTCAATCAAAATTCACGCTGCAATGGACGCAATGTTCATCGCAGCAATAACCACAATCACAACACCCACAACTGCAATTTAAAACCATAGTAACAATCTAGGCATTGCAACTAGGCCTTAGTAAAATAATTTATCATTTCTAGTGAGCTCAAAATATGGTGTTAAAACCAATGTTAATTTCAAACATTCAAACATACTAATTTTAACACAAAACCATTTCTGCATTCAATCATGATTTATAGAAATGAAAATGATTACCGAAACATCAAAAATACATAAACACTAAACCCTACTTCAATAAAAACAAAACCAGCATATCAACCATTGAAATTGAAAATGAAAATGAATTACATACAATTAACAAACACACACGCTATAAAACACAAACACTAAACCCTCGATTAAAACACCAAATTAAAAATTCAAATCAAGAGAAGCATAATTAAGTACGTAATTACTGAAAGCTACTAATATAATAGTGAATAGAAGAGACAAAAAGAGAAGAGAAACACCGAATCCAAAAACGGAACCCATTAAAGCGCCGCCGCCGGTGTCACTGGCGGTACGGAGTAGACAAACGGAAGTAGTGGCGGAAACGATAGCGTTGGAAGAATCGGGAACAGAGTCGGAAGAATCCTCCTCGTGAGGCGGTGCGATACCATCGGAATCCGCCGTCGCCATATTTCTTTGCTCTAACTGTCGTTGGGTTCAATTCTCGTTTCTGATGTATTGTCGTTATCTATGCGTTATCTCTTTCAATTTGAAAGTTTCGTAACGACGTCGTTTTGCTCCCTCGTGAACCAACTCTGTAGCTACTCAAAATGGGCTTTATTAATGTTTTTTAACTATATCATTAATAATCAAATCTAAGTTAAAGTAATGTTAATTTTCTTTTGTACTTCATTATTGTTATCTTCATAACATGTCATGTAAACTTATTTAGTCAATAGAGACATATTTTTTATCAACATTAAACATAATAAGACATTTTTGTACTTTTATTTTCTAAACCAATTTTGAGGTTTCAAAAATTGAACATTGCAAATATATGTGTGAGTTTGTTTTTATCACAAATAAGTTTATGATATGTATTATGATATAGGCATTAGTGTAATGAGTAATTGATATAGTTTATTAACTAACTAACTAATAATAAGTTAGATATAGGGTGTAACTACTTCTGTTACTACATTGTCTTGCTATATAAGTTAGTTTTCTTTTTGTAATCTTTTCGAACAATTAATGAAATTTTTTTCTTCATCCTCATATTTTATTCCCATGCATTCATATTTGTATACTATAATATGGTATCAGAAGTAATTTTCTGATTTCATTTGCTTCTGCACCCTTTCTCATCTCTTTCTCCTCCATTGATCTTTCTTCTACATTGCATATTCTTGTCCCCTTTTATGGCGTATCACGATGATCCTTACTACCTTCATTCCTCAAATCATCTTGGGGTTGCTTTGGTTTCACAATTGTTAATCGGCGATAATTTTAACTCATGGTAATGCGCCATGTTGATGGCAAGAACAAAACTGGTTTGTTGATGGCACAATTTCAAAACCAAAAGATAACTCTCCTCAGTATCACTCATGGATGCGCAACAATAACACAATTTATTATTAGCTCCTCAATTCGGTTTCCAAAGAAATATCTTCAAGTGTCATTTATGATGCTAACGCTGCAAAGATTTGGAAGGAACTCAAAGAACGATTCCAACATAAACATGGCCCTCGTGTGCACGCAAGGTTCATCCAATGTAAGTGTTTACTACACTCAGTTCAAGTCTTTATTGGAAGAATTGGGAGAATATCGATCAGTTCACACATGCAATTGTGGTGGAGTGCAGCCTATAGTAGATCATCTCCAAAGTGAACATATTCTCACATTCTTGATGGGCTGAATGAGTCTTTCAATCAGGTTTGTGGCCAGATTCTACTTATGGACCCCTTACCATCTATCAATGTAGTGTTATCTATGGTTACTCAAGATGAGAAACAAAGAGAGGTAACAACCACATTGAATCCCACTGAAACACCTATGGACTGTGTTGTTCAAGCTAAAACCAACAAGAATTTCAAGAAAGATCGCCCCATGTGTGCTCATTATGGTGGTGTTGGTCATCTTAAGGAGAAGTGTTTCAAGCTTCATGGATATCCTCCAGGCTACAAGAAACCTAAAAGCTTCAAAAGATCACCTCAATCTCATAATGTGAGTGAGCATGGTGTTGCAGGATCTGATTCTCTTTCAGAAATGCCATCTATGACTTCACAAAGTTACCAACAACTCATCAATTTCTTGCAGACACAAATGACAAAAGCTATCACATCTGAATCAGCAACCTTGGTGAATTCAGTCATAGGTATGACCTTTTCCACTATAGACTCCCATAAATTACATAGTCCTCAAACTTGGATTGTAGATTCAGAAACTACATTCCATATTTGTTGTGATGATTCCTTATTTCAGTCACATAAACCCTTAATAGATAAATTTGTCACCCTCCCGAATGGTAGTTATGTACCCGTTAAAGTTGTAGGCAACATTGTCCTCAATAATACATTGTTCATACATGATGTGTTATACATTCCATCTTTTCATGTGAACCTCATTTCAGTTGGAAAACTTCTTCTTAGACCCCATCTATAATTAATCTTTGATGCTCACCTTTTTTTCATTCAGGACACCAAGCTATCCAAGATAATTGGCAAGGGTGACCTCATTTCAGGCCTATACCATCTTAAAGTTGATGTTGTTCAACAAATTTCCACTTTTTCCTCTTCATGCAATTTTACTTCTTATGTCAATAATGCCAAATTGTGGCACCATAGGCTCGGACACTTGTCTGATTCCATGTTAAAGATAACTAGTCATAAAATTCCCTTTCACGTTCCTTCAGATTTCAATTCAAATAAATGTACCATATGCCCTTTAGCCAAATTTAAAAGATTACCTTTCCAATGCAATAATATTTTTTCTGTAGAAAGTTTTGATCTTATACATTGTGATTTATGGGGTCCATATGCAAAACCTACATAATGGTAAATTGTATTTCTTAACAATTTTTGTTGATTTCAATAGATTTACTTGGATTTATTTATTATCAAATAAATCTGATGCTCCTATCAAGATCCAACAGTTCTTTAACTTAGTCAAAACCTAGTTTGGCAAAGTGATCAAAGCCATAAGAACTGATAATGCAAAAGAGCTAGCCATGACCAAGTTTCTTCAAGAACAATGCATTATCCATCAACTGGCATGCCCCTATAGACCTGAGCAAAATTATGTAGTAGAAACGAAACATCAACATCTGTTAAATGTAGCAAGGTCCTTGATGTTTCATGCCAACTTGCCAATTAGATTTTGGGGTAACTACATAGCAACGTCTACTTTTATCATAAATAGAACACCTTCCAAATTTCTTAAAGGTAATTCCCTCTTTGAGCTTCTACATGGTAAACTCCCTACATAATCTAGTTTTAATGTTTTTGGTTGCCTTTGTTACATCTCCACCATACCTTAACACATAAACAAATTTACATCAAGAGTTACCCCTTGTGTGTTCTTAGGATACCCTGTTGGACATAAAGGCTTCAAAGTATATGACCTGGCATCCAAAACGTTTCATATATCTAAAGACATTAATTTCCATGAAGATTATTTTCCTTCTCAATCCATATCTGACAATAACCCTATTGATCATGATGAAAGTGACATTAATCAAGACCTTGATCCGCCTCATGATGAACGTATTCTACCTATACCACTTTCATCTCAAATTGTCTCCACAGTTACAAGTTTAAGAAGGTCAAATAGACCTCAAGAGCTCCAACTAATCTATCAGACTATGCATGTCACACTTTTTATCCTATAACTCACTCACTTTCTTATGAAAAACTAACCAGTCCTTACAAGAGTTTTATCATAAATGTCTCATTTGTTTTTGAACCACAACATTACCATCAAGCTGCCACTATCCCTGAATGGTGCAGAGCTATGTTTGAAGAAATAACAGCTCTTAAAGCCAACCATACTTGGTTTATTCAACCCCTACCACCTGATAATAAATCCATTGGATGCAGATAGATCTACAAAACAAAATTTAATGCATATGGCTCCTTGGACAAATATAAAGATTTATTAGGGCCTAAGGGTTACACTCAGCAACCTGGCCTTAACTTCATTAACATTTTTTCTCCAATTGCAAAATTGACATATGTTAGAGTCATTCTTAGTCTGGCAGCTGCTTAAAAATGGAAGCTAACTCAGTTGGACATAAATAATGTTTTCTTAAATGTTGACCTATTTGAGGAAATCTATATAGATTTGCCACTTGGGTATCTAAATGAAGGGGAAAACATGGTGTGTAAGTTGCACAATTCTTTATATGGTATAAGGCAGGCCCCAAGACAATGGTACCATAAGTTCTCCACAACAATTATGCAACATGGATTCCAACAATCATCTGTTGACTGCTCATTGTTTGCAAATGGCACAGGTGCATCTATGATAACCCTCTTGGCATACGTTGATGATATAGTGCTTGCTAGCCCAAATCCCAAATTAATCCAAGAGACTCAAACACTTCTCCAAAGTATGTTTAAAATGAAACTTCTTGGAGACCTCAGATACTTCCTTGGCTTAGAGATTGCAAGATCCGGTAAAGGAATCCATTTATGCCAAAGGAAATATGCATTGTAGCTTCTTATTGACACATGTTTCACAAATGCCAAGCCAGTTTCTTTACCCATGGATCCTAGTATCATTTACAATGATGAAGAATGACCTCTACTTAAATATGTGTCTTAATATAGAAGAACAATTGGGAGATTGTTGTATCTTACCATTTCAAGGTCTGACATCTCATTTGCAGTCAACAAGCTCATCCAATACATGGCTAAACCTAGACAATCACGCTTAAATGAAATCCATCATTTGCTGCAATACCTGAAAGGCACTCCAGGCCAAGGAATCTTATTCTCTGCAAATTAATCTTTCCATGTTTCAACCTATTCAGATGCAGATTGAGGAAGTTATATCACTACTAGAAAGTCGACTACAGGGTTTTGCATCTTCATTTGTGAATCCTTAGTGGCTTGAAGATCTAAGAAGCAAACAATAATATCAAGATCATCTGCTGAAGAAGAATATAAAGCCTTAGCATCCACCACAGTTGAACTTTTGTGGTTAAAACAATTGCTAAGAGCTTTTGACATCAATGTTTCCACTTGCAAAGTCTTCTATGACAGTACATCTTCTATCCAAACGGAAAGCAATCCCATGAGCCATGAAAGAGCCAAACATATTGACATTGACTGTCATTTCATTCATGAACACATGTATGATAATTTCATCAAGTTAATTCATATTCCTTTCAAGTATCAACTTGCAGATCCTCTCATAAAGCCCTTCCAAGGAACTCATTTCATCACTTAACAACCAAGTTGGGAATATGCAGCATAAACCTTCCAACTTAAGGGGGAGTATTATGATATAGCCATTAATGTATTGAGTAGTTGATATAGTTTGTTAAATAACTAACTAACAATAAGTTAGTTATAAGGTGTAACTACTTCCAATACTACATTGCCTTACTATATAAGCTAGCTTTCTCCTTATAATCTTCTCAACCAATTAATGATGTTTTCTTCTTCATCCTCATATTCTATTCCCATGCA